TACTGCTACTGTGACTGCTACTGCTAAAGTATCGTTACTGCTACCCCCACCGCTATAGCTGCCACAGATGCTGCTGCTACCGCTGCTGCTGCTGCTGCTGCTGCTGCTGTCCGCTGCTGGTGCCTCTGCTACTGCTGCAGATGCCGACTGCGATGGCGGCTGCTGCTGCTGCCGTTTCGGCATCTGCCTTGAAGTGCTGCCACTTCACGTGCCGTTTGGCTGTAGCCGCTCGTGCAATGACCGCTACTGTCATTTTGTGGCAGCTATTGCAACAGCGAGAACAGTTTCCATGAACGACCTGCAATGCTAGAAGTATCCACCCACATGCCCGCACTGTAACGATAACACTGTGGCGGTCTCCCACCACTTGGAACCTCGTGACCTGTATGGCCTTGCCCGCCGTAGGTGGCACCGCCACCACGGCCAAAGCCTGTGCGACCCGCTACGGTGGACACCGTCGGAATCCCGGCCCGGAGGGACAGCGTCCCGGTTTCAGTGTCTTGGAGGGTGAGTTCCAGAACTTCGTCGGCTTCGATTCTGATTCGCAGCGCAAAGATGTAACAGAAGAACCGTTGTTGAGTCGCTCGAGTGCAAGTGTCTGGCAAGCCTCGACAGCTTTCGTTCACATGACATCTATGAGGTCTATGGTGTGCAGGGTCCCCAGATCTTGCCAAGCTGCATTGCAAGACTGTCTTACTGTCGAGGCTTCCCTTCTGACACTTTGCTGTACTGTTAATCCCGGCTTCATGTCAGAACTGCGGCAGTCTTCAATCATCAGATGCCTTGCCCATTTTTTGGGTAAGAATGAGAATCACAACACAGCCACCTCGCGAGCCCAGAGTTTCCTTGCCCTCTCCTTCGCCATGCCATCAGTTCTGCCACGACAGGAGCAGCCATCTGCCAGATTGAAAATCCCAACGTGTACTGTCATGGCAAAATAGGTACTATCATGCCAAAGTAGGCGTAGAGGCGACGGCCCCTGCTGCAATTGAGTGGGCATTGCGGCATTGCATCACAGGAGGGAAACTGAAGCTGTAATCATGGAGTAAATGTATTCCACAACCCTCGTAAACAATATTTTTGTACTGCACATGTCATATCTAGTTATCTTACTACAGACTGGTATGATGACACGTGTAGACAACC